CGTCGCGATGGAGCGTGTCGATGTCCCAATCGGTACTGGCCGTCCTCGTGGTTCGATGTTTCGCACGAGACGCGCCATTTCGTAGCATCGGAGGAGCAGCTTTCGATGGAACGCGGCCCCGGAACGGAAGAAAATGTCCGAGAAGTGTACGAAGATCGGCGAGCCGCAGGTACAACGGGTAGAGAACGACGATATCTTCGAGGAGAAGATAGGGAGGAAGAAAAGTACCGCGCAACGACGATGGCGTATCCTCGCCAAGGCGTTGATCGGCCCTCAGGAACCGATCTCGATGGGCGCGGAAGACGAGATCTCGGTTCGCCGTTTCACCAGTTTCAATTTGTTGAGGGTCGACCGCGTCGAGAGCAATACCGCGGACCCGGACGCCGCATCTTGGTATGAATATTCGACCGTCTTAGAGAACAGTAAGCTGTTCACCGTGGAGATCCGTCGATTGAAGAAAAACTTCACGGCGAACGAGCTGATCGGTTTCAACAATACCGGCAACATCTGCGTCTGGCCGTCGGAGGAATGTTTGGCGTATTATTTGTTGAAAAACCGGCAGCTGTGTCGGAACCGAAGGGTCCTTGAGCTTGGTGGCGGTATGAGTTGTTTGGCAGGGATGATGGTCGCCAAGTACTGCGACCCGAAGGAAATCGCGCTGACAGATGGCAACGTGACCAGCGTGAGCAACGTACGACGAATCATAGCTAGAAACGGCATGACCGATCTCGTGGATTGCGGCGTGGTTCAGTGGGCCAAAGCGGCCAGGGCTATCAGAGCGGTCAGGATGTTCGTACACCCGCACCCCAACGGCCTTCGAATCAAGGTGAATTCTCCTTCACGCGTTTTTTACGCACCTCGTCTCGTCTTCTCCCTCTCTCCCTTCATCGCCTTCCTACACTTCGTTCTACGCATTCTACATATGCTTGTAAACTGTTGACGACGAGGAAGCAGCAACGATTCGATACCCGATGGAAAACACGCTACGCGCCATTCCCACGTCAAATCGAACACACATCGAGCAAGCATCGTACGCGAGCTTTCGTGCGTTCGACCTCTCTCTCTCTCTCTCTCTCTCGTGCTTGTCCCCACTGACGAGGGATCGCGCGTGCGCGCTTTCCTCCGCCACGATACTACAGCGATCATTTCCAGTCGGTCCGCCGCGACCCTCTGCGCTCCAACTTTTTCCTCGTGGCGCTTGGCCGAGATCGGGTACCGTTTCCAACGATCGCGTGAACCTTTACCCTCTGAACCCTCCGAGCCCACGCGATTTCCTCGATACACTACGTTAATAACATCTTCGAGTCGACTAATTATCGCGACCACCTACGACGACCACGATGTTTCGTTTTTTACCTACCGATTGTCCTTCTTCCTTGACCGTTTGTTCGTATCGTCGTCGTTGTTGATTAAAAGCCGCGTTCACCTCGCGTTCTCGATCGAGTCGCCTAGCTTGCCTGAGCTACTTGGGAATTTCTGAATTGAATTTTTACCTGGTAGAACTGGACCAGCGGCGCCAAGGACGTTGCGAAATTTACGGGAAAGCTATACGATGTGATCCTGTGCGCGGACTGTCTCTTCTTCGACGAGGCTCGGTCAGACTTGGTGGAAACGATCTACGGTTGGCTGGCGAACGACGGCCTCGCCTTGGTGATGGCGCCAAGACGAGGATCGACTTTCGAGCAATTCAGCGAGGCGGCGGTGAAACGAGGTTTCGTCGCGCGACGAATAGACCGTTACGATGGAACGATTTGGTCGAGGCATCTGGAGTTGTTGGAGCACAGCCAGGAGTATTGTCCAGATCTCCATTATCCGATCCTTCTGGAGCTGACCAAGCAAAAGAAAACGTCACCCGGATGATACGACCGTGTCGATCGTCGAGCAACTCGCCAACAAGCAGATCCACATTCACAAAGTTCCTCTCTGCATCCCCTTTTTACCACGATCCAAGGCCATTCCCTTGTTCCATTCCGTTACTAGCTCTCCCCATTCCCTCACTAGCTTAGCTTTCTCATCCACGGATTTTTACCTCTTCTCCGTGATCCGATCTTTCGAATATATCTACAAGTTGCAATATCTCCAGCTGCAAGTAGTTAGCAATCTATATAGACTACTACGATCGAGTATAATCGAGAATCAATCGTCGGATCGTTCGAAAAACAAAACGCTAAATTTCTATTGTTAATCGATAGTTGAAGATCGTTTTTTTTTTTTTTTTTTTTTTTTTTCGTTAACACGACACGCGTTACCCGGACGAATTGTAAACGATAGTATTTCAAGTACCTGATGTTAGATTGATAGATGTGTAAAATGGCAATCACGATGCTCGTAACTGCAGCCCTGACGGTTTATCGTTCCGAAAATAGAAATGAAATTGGCATTCGCGTGTGTCCAGCGTGGATTACAGGGATCGTCACGCTTATGAAGGAAATGTTAAGAAAGGGTGAGGTAAAGGCCGACGTCATACATGCATGTACACAAGGTTGTTTGTAACTGCTGGTACGATTAGGGACGATTCTACGAGGGAATAATAGTTCGAAAGAAAAAAAAATGAAATTTATTCATTTAGTTATTTCGTTCTCGAGAGAATCAATTTGTCAAGTGTGTACTTGAATTTCGACAACTGCAGACCAGATAGAAATGAATAATCAGTCATTCTAAATTCCTCCTTGTAACTTGCAACTGAATCGTTTGTTAACGCTGTACAGTTAAACAAATCAATTTCTAGATAATGGAAGACAAGATGAACGTTCTGTAAAAATGTCAAAGGACGCTGTGTCTCTATTATGCGAGTCAGAGTTACTATAATTGCACAGCATAGAATGAAGATCTCGAAATGTAATATGTTAGACCAAACAGGCAAAATATTTTTCCATTAAATTTAACTTTCTTCTAAACTATATTCTATTGTATTTTTTACTTATTTTCGCAAGTACAATAACTTCTCATCAATTATTCAGCTAGCGAAACGCAATTGACCAAATTCAAAGATTTTCAAACTCGATTCTCTCCAGGACGAGGGAAACGAAATTTTGTTCTTCCTTCTTTACTTGTTTTTTTTTTTTGATCCATACACAATTGTATTATCAATCGTGATATGTGTAGCATATCCAGTAACTATTATTTCGTTCCTGCTCTCGTTAAACTTTAAGAAATCAATTCTTCCTGGAAAATGGCAAACGGTAGTGTCAGACTACGTGGATCAATCTTCGATGAGACCTCGAATTTTTGATTCATATTTCACGCTGCGACGATCAGCGTGACGAATAGATTGAGGCTAACGACCAATGTCAATCGCTGAATCGTGAATGCTTTTTTTTATCGTTCATACATAACCATCCGAATTTCGATCTAGCTTTCAATCCGAGGGTCCAAAGCGCATCGATAGACAAAGAAAATCGCTAGTATATACGATTAGTATCCTTCTACGAGACAAAGGCGAAAGACTTTTACACGGAACCATGTATGTATAGTGAATTCATACATAGTAGTAAATATGTAAGCTCTTCAAGCCCACTTAAAATCGTATTTTTTTAAAAACAAACGATTCGAAAGCAAACGAACTTTCAGATTGATCCGATCAAGTGATACATGTATACGTATGTACAATGATACGCGAAGGTAATGTATATAAGTATACGCTTATTATCTGTATTATATGAAACATTTTGGAAATTTTCATTAACACTATCGCGACACTCGATCATCATGATTATGTTGGTGAAATTTTCAACGATTCGGAAAACGTACACAGATATTACACAGAAATCGTGTTCGCCATCGTGCAGGTGTGCTATCATGCATAATAATTGGGCACATGGTATAATTCTAACAAAGTTTTCGTCTTGTTAACGAACATTCCTCTACTGTTAGTCGTCTACAATTTTATCATAACTGACAATGAGATCAAATCCTCTGCTAAGTTTCATCAGACACTTTCACTCAAGTTCTATATTCATTATCTAACACTCCATAAAATTCACAGAAACGTGAATTTTTCTCAACTTGATCTTTCTAATATCTCAACGTTGTATAAAGTTAAAAGCTATAAGCAAAATTGATCTTCAGCCACTTTTAATTATTACTCTTTCATTTACTTGATATTGGCTGTTTTATTAACTGTGCATGCCATGATCTAATTAAAACAATTCATTTGAATTGCATTTTATATACACATTTGC